GTAGAAGTTACTGGATTGTTCTACTGGGTATGAAGCCTTTGCCATTGACTCAGTTTTAGCTTTTTGCCTTCCAATTTAGTTAGCCATTTAACATTGCCAGTAAGTCAGGATACCCTGGCAGTCACTGTCAGCGAGCAGGCTACGTCTAGTTCTGATCTTGTGACTGCTTTTGTACCAGTGTAACTAACCCATTTATTTCAACCCTTGCTCCAAATTGACTGCGGAGAATAGAATTGCACCTACTGGATTAATTTGAAAATTTAAGACTCAGTCAAGGGGTGCAGAGCGGCAGCCACTCCCATCCACTCCAGTGGGAGCAAGTTTGAGCCGTACCATTTACAGCTGCCCCCATTCCTGCCTGATGGGATGACTATTTAGGCTGCCCAAATGCAAATGAAACATTGCATTGGACAGGACACCAGGCAACTTTCCCCTGGTGACTCAGGAGTTATAGTCTTGACTTATGTGAATGCTGCACTATACTTCTCCACTGAAGGCCTCTGCATATTCATTCTGTATTGCAGACCAACAGGAACAGCATACTGACCTGGAAGTATTTTCCATCTCCCCCTCCAGCGGAAGTCTGGAGGCCCGTGAAGCTGACTTACCCACCAAAGTACCTTTACAGATCTGCTTTACAGCAAGGTATAGTAAGGGCACAGGTATGCTGCAAGGATATTTTCAAGCCCAGGCTACTAAGGTGTTAATTTCATTTAAAGCAGTCTCAGCCCAGGCTCTGTGTTACATTCTTGTCGACAAGGAGAGCTTTGCTCTTCTTGTCCTACAACAAAGGAGGTTTCTACGGAAGTGATCAGTAATAATGACAGTCCCTGAGTTGTGTTGTCAGTGATTAAGGGCCCATGTATACACGGGCACACATTTTGGCATGCCTGTCTGTGCAGTTATTGCACTAGCAGACCGATGGGATTCAGACATCCTCAATGTGCGTGGTCACAATGCAAGTCCCCAAGTGTAGGGACGAGTGTTAAAATACTGCTGTCATGAAGCTCAAGCAGTTCTTTCAAGTTTGCACATGCTGTGGTGGACAGACTGCAAGCACTTGCTGGCTGTTCTCATAGTGTATGCTACACACGCGAGTACTGTTGCTCAACTATCCAAAAAAAGTGAAACCCTTGCTGTTTATGCTGTAATGGGTGCAGCAACACATTTATTGCATTGTCTATATAAAATACGTACTGGGAAGTGCTGCTAAACTCAACCAGAAAATCATTCCCAAGCTGACACAGAGGGATGAATACTCCCTTGTAAGCAGTCCGAATCCCAAGATGAAGGTTTATATTGGTTCCTCCTTGAACTAGCCTTACATTCCTCAGCCTTTACTAAAGGAGCATGCAGCACCTGCAGATGAGAAGGCACCAAATAGAGGTTGCAACCATTACATGCAACACTTCAAAGTGGTTCCTGCTTTTCCCAGGGAGGATTTTTTGAAGTGGAACAGCTATTTTTGTAGTGCTTCATCAGGCATGTATGTCACCACCCTAGTGCTTCAGTCACTTGGAGCTTTGGAAACCATAACTGTTAGCATAACAGGTCATGCTAACTGTAAAGCTTCACACAGCAGTGTTGCATCTGCAGCTAGAAGCAGCCCTTGTTAATGAAAATAGATGGCTGTGGGATTTTGTGTAACACCTGCATACAGCACTTCACAAAACCAACTGATTTGATGGTGATGTGCTACCTCATGTCTAAAGGTTTTATATACAGCAACAGGAATGATAAAAGATGGGATTATAGAATCTGATAATGTTTTCTCAAGTCCTTTAATGCCTGCAAGTTGTACAGTACCTGGCAGTGAAGTATGTCATGTCCCCCCACCCCATAATTGGATTCCATACAAGAAAAAATTATAGATGTTATAATTGTCTATGTATAGAATCTAATTGTCGGAGGGTTGCCTTAAATTTGTCCCCACCATCACTGCAGTGGGGCAGGTGGTAGGAGAGGCAGTCAGGGGGTAGGTGGTAGCAGGCAGGTGGTGTGAAGGCAGTGGGGGCCTTACCAACCTACTCGAGTTCTTTGAGAGTGTCAGTAAGCAGGTGGATCAGGGCAATCCAGTTGTTCGCAGTGTATTTGGACTTCCAACAAGCCTTCGACAAGGTTCCCCCATCAGAGGCTCTTAATCATGGGATTATAGCCTGTGTCCACTTGCCGATTAGAAATTGTTTTAAAGACAGAAAGCAAGGAATAAGTATAAATGGTTAGTTTTCAGGCTGGAAAGAAGTAAATAGCAGTATCCCAGGGATGCATGTCAGGACTAGTGCTGTTTAGCATATTCATAAAGGATCTGGAAAAGGGGGTAAGCAGCAAAGTGGCCAAATTTGCCAATGGCACAATTATTCATTGGTAAAGACTGTGAGGAACTACAGAAGGATCTACCACAATGGAGCAAATGGGCAACTAAGTGACAGATGAAATTCAATGTAGATAAGTGTGAAGTGATGCACCTGGGCAAAAATAACCACAACTCTACCTATATTATGATGGGCTCTATGCTAGCTGCTATCATGCAGGAGAGATCTGGGTGTCACGGACAGTTCACAGAAAGCATCAGCTCTGTGCTCAGCAGTCATCAAAAAAGCAAACAAAATGTTAGGGATTGAAAATTGTAAGCAAAATGGAAAGTAGCATTATGCCCCTTGAAATCCATAGTGCATCCACACCTTGAATACTGTGCCCTGTTCTGGTCCCCACACCTCAGAAAAAGGATACTAGAGAAGGTCTAGAGAGGGGCAACAAGAATGATCATTGTTATGGAGGAGTTTCTTAGGCAGAGGCTAGGCCTATTCAGTTTAGAAAAAGAGATGCTTGAGGGGGGATATGATAAGGGTTTACAGAATATTAAATGATGATGAAAAAGTAAATGGATGTATTGTTTACTCTCTCACAATACAAGAACGAGGGGTCACAAAATGAGACTAATAGGCAGTAAATTTAAAACTAACAAAAGGACGTTCTTTTCCACAGTGTCATTTAAATGTAGAACTCACTGCCACCAAACGTGGTAGGAGCCAACAGTTTAGACAGATGCAGAAAGGGGGACTGGACGTGGGCGTCAGTAGGTCTGCAGCATGGGCATTAGGGGTAGAGCATCCAATTCAGAACTTCCTAAACTTTAAATGCTGGAGGCTGCAAGTAAGCGAGGAAGGGGGTGGGGGGCAACAATGGACCTGGTCTTACCTGGGTCACTCTCCTTGTCAGCATCCACTCTCTGCCCCTGTGTGACACAGGAGACTGGCAAGATGGACCCTTTGGTTTGACCAGTAAACAGCAGTTGACTGTTCTTAAGTGATGCCCCAACTGTGTTTAGTTTTCCCCATACTCATCAGCAAGGTTACACTCTCCTGGGAAAACAATCTCCAGTGCAAGGAAGTTCTTAGGAAGAGGGCAAAGAAACACACCTGTGATACTTTCCTATGTAATACAAAACTATGGAGAAACTAACTGGCTTTCTAAATTATATTAACAAAAATGAGGACTCATTGCACAGAGGCATCCACGTGCCTGCAAAGGGAGGAAGTCTGAACCGAGCGAGGGAGTCTACTCCAGGGAGTTCAATGATAAAGTCAACACTGAGCAGGGTTAACAGGCAAGTTCCTAGAGTTAAAATGCAGGTGAGGGAGACGATAAAAGTCCTGGTTTAATATTCACTTTTCTTGAGTGATCTTGCATGCAAGAGCATGCATGAAGCACATCTACCCACTTGCAAACTGACAGTGGCTCTGGGCTGCCCAAAAGCAAAACTGTTTTCCCTAGTAGCCACCTCCTTTGATTCAGCACATTTAACCTCCCTCATGAAGTGACTCACTAAATTGGTTAAACTGTAGCCAGTTTAGCTGTGCGCAAAGGTGCTCCTTCCTGCTGGGGAATTTTGAGCCAAAAGAACAAGTGGGACAGTAGGGAAAAGCACAGGCCCTCAGGCCTGTTTCTAGAAAAGTGAAGGGTTTCTGAGGATTGCCACAAACCACAAGTCAAATGCAAGGATACTTGTAAACACAGCGCCATTTGCTTTAGGCCAGCATCTAGCTCCCTGCTCCCTCTGGCCTACCAGAACAGATGGGAGAGATGTTTCAGCCCGGAAGAGAGCTCAGACCTGTCCCCTGCTGTAGCTCAGCTTACCCAGTGCCACCTATAAATGGATATTTATGAGCACTGAAGCTTCTGTCTCTCAGTTAATTCCTCCAGTGTCATATTAAATACTTGTATGATTTTTTAGGTTAAAATTCCTGGCTTTTGGAAACCCCTAAAACCTTTCCTTAGTCTCTTCTTTCTCCTGACTCTACTGTCACTTAAATTTACAAGAGGTCCCTCCTTCACAAGCAGATAAATGCAACTCAGTTTCCTTCTCTTGTATTTTAGGAGTGGCATCAAATATGAAACCACAGCAACCATTGTTGGACTGCTGGGAGAGAAATCCTGCACTCTGCACATCAGAGGCAAAGGATCCTACGATGAGAAATATGAAGATCTCCGCTCAGTGTTTAAATAAGATGGTCTAGATGAGATCTCAACATAATGGGCTGAGCTCTTGGCTATTGCTGTCACTGGAAGTTTATGTACAGGATAAACCACTTCGTCTATGATTATTTTGCTTAAAATTAAACTACACGGATGCACTTTCCAAATAAAACTCCAAGGAATGTCTAAGAATTTTACTAAAACGAGCTGTCTTCCACTCCCCCCCCCCAAAATCCCCTCTCCACCCCCCATGGTACTCAGGAAAGCATATTTTTGCATCAGAACGGAACATGCCACATTTAATTTTTATTAACATATGTGCCTCAACACCTTCCCTAAAGCAGGTTGTTCCTAAAGAAACAGCGAAGGGAGCTTCTGTAACAGCAATGCCACTAGCATCATTGCAAAGTCAGAGTGCCTTGTAGTTCTTGTATAACCTGTTGCGTAGCTTAAAAACAAGTTGGTTAATTCTGCATCAGTCATGTTGCACAAGTTGGTGAATAAAAAAGAAACAGAGACCAACACTGAGTCCATTTTCCTTATCTTATATAAAAGTCAGTGGAGTCTGGTGTCAAAAATCCCTGGGGCACCTTTGTAAAATGCCACCCTAAATTAACAGACTATTAATTACCTGCAACCTAGGATTTCCCACTTAGGCTAGGAGAAGCCTTTAATTCTCTCTTAATTTTTATCTATTGGCAGCCTCACAAATTCAGACTTCAAGCTGATCTTTGAAGTGCAACAATATTTCAGTCTTGCTGCCACCCTTTTCCCCCCACAGCAGTGTATGGACAGGAAGAGGAAAAAAATATTGAAGTCTGTGCATTGCACCTGAGTTAAGACAGGTTTGTTCAAGCAGTGAGAACCCCACTGCTCTGTCAAAACACAGGCCCACAATTTTTACATCACCCAGAGCAACTGTCAAATTTTTACAGGGATGGGAAATGCAGCTTCTGCAACCCCATAAATTAGGCATCTCCTTGAAGTTACCCCATCATAATTCCTGGGTCTCCAGCACACTGCTTCCATTTTATTTGAATACTTTATCCTAATTAGCAGGAAGGTACAAATATCAAGAATTCAGCCTACTGGTGAGCATTTTTTAAACAATACAACATTATCTAAATAGCATTGATTTAAACATTTCTAAACACCCTAGACCTGGTGTTGGCAACCATCTGCTGCTGCAAGCTGCTGCTTGCTATGCAGCCCTCACTGTGGGCTGTCAATCCCCACACACACCATCAGATGTTGTGAAGACAATACACAATGAGAGAGGCAGCAGGACCCTGGAACTAGCCTCTGGTGGCAACAGATGCTGGCAATGCCTCCTCTGCTGCTTCAGCTGGAGGATGCCACCAATTCCCCTGAAGTGTCACGGCCTGGATCCCATCTCTTCTTAGGCTGGATCCTGCCTGCAGGCTGCCCTAGACAGTAAGTCTGCTTTCTTTTAACGGTTACTAGCACAGAGGGCTTTCCACCCTTGAAAGGTAGTATACGAGGGAGAGAGTTTTAGAGGGCCAGAGGCATGTGGCTGTCCTGGTACTGGAACATTGTGCGAGTTACCAATACTTGGCCATTGCTAACAGCAAACAAGGAATGTACAAGGCAGGTTTACATTTACTGTTAATTCAGGGGAAAAGCTGATTTTAAAAGCCACCCAACAAGCTACAATTAAACAAATGCAGCAAAGGATGGGACTGATCAGTCTCTAGCTTAAAATTCCTAGTTTCTAGCAGCCGCTGAAGCCTTTCCCTAACCTCTCCCTCCTCCATCCCCTCATAATTTTCATGTATAAGAGGCCCCCTCACTGTGAGGAGATAAACTCCCATCAAGTTTCTCCTATTCAGTCCAAGTTGTTGTTTCACAACAGCTAGGTAGAAAACCATGATTTTTTGGTGGAACCCAAGCCAGTCTGGCACTCATACCATCCACATGCTCAATAAAGAGGAGCAGCAGTTTGGATGCTATGGGGCCAGCTGGTGGTAAATTACTCACATTTAACCATTTTAAATACAGAATTTGCACTGGGCTCAAGCAAAACAACCCCCTCCCCGGGTTCTTCACAACTTAATCATTTCAATAAAAATAGGTATAAAAACATCTGGAAAAAGTTTCCCCATATGCACCAGCATTTTGATTTTAACTTACAAGAGCCTAGACAGTTTTCCTGTAATGAGAAGTAAAGACCCCTGTGAACTCAAGCTTGCTGAATTGCAGCCTGATCCCTTAGTTCCATGCCAGTGATTTTATACAATTAGCAATACAATTAGCAGGATGCTAGTGCCTGTATCTGTGAAATCAAAGTGAATGTCTGAGCTCACTGCCATGAGTAGAGCTTCACTTGGAAACAGCCACCAGGCCCATCTCTTTCACTCTGCAACCCCCACTCCTTGACTGTATTAGTTCCACAATTTGATAATTAGTGCCTGCAAATCAGTATTTCTATTATGTACATTCCTGATCCAGTTCTAAGTTTTTAGTGCAAATGATTCACTATCACTGGAGAAAGAGAAGAATTAGAACTGCCTTGTTTTTGTGTGCGCTGGAATTTAGTTGCCTGGGTATTCAAACACTGCAGCAGCTCCCATGCCGGTTCCAATGCACATGGACACCACACCGTATGCTCTGCAACAGAACGAGGGAGTTAAATGGTTAGAAAAATGGCTCCAGTTCTAAACCAGCCAAGAAAAGAAAAATCTCAGAGGAGATAAACTTGAGCTACCCATGGTTCTTTCAGCCAGCCACAAGGCACAAGAGCTGATACAGGAGCAGTCATTCCTTCCCACGTCCTAAGCCAGGGATGGCCAACCTGAGCCACACACAGGTACAAGCAGGGGAGGGGGCCAGGCAGCACAGGGGCAGACAGGGCAGCAGTTTGGGCAAGGACCCTAGAGCAAGAAGTAGAAAGCAGAACAGATTATGCACGGAGCAGAAGGCAGAGCTGCTGATGAGGCAGGGGAAGGGGATCAGAGCAGCGCTCAGGGAGGGAGGGAGTGTGGCTAATTTGTGGCATGCCTGCCAGAGAATGGTTGGCCCCACTGCCCTAGGAGGAAGATTCTGGAAGGCCCCAGAACCAGACTCTGCCCTGCCATTTCCAGCTTGGTAGATGGCATCACACAGATGTACCTGCTCCCCTACCAGGAAGTGGAGCACTCCAAGAACTCCACACCATCTCAACAGGGAATAGTAAGAAGGTCCAAGATGGGGCAATTCTGCCTTGGTTCAGGTTATCACAGCAAGGAAGAAGCCTCTGCTGTGGTATCAGCAGATCAGGTTAGTGCAAAATATTCTCAGCAGGCTGCCCTCCTCCCTGAAGAGGGCTAAGCTACTATCTCCTCCAGGTCAATGTTGAGACTTCTGCTACCATCCAGGCTTTGTGGAAAAACAAGCTCTATGGAAATCTGCCAAGACGCTACATTCAAGTGTCTCCGCTTCAGCTGAAGAGATCCAAATTACTTTTACCCAACTCACTGAGCAGTTTGCAGCCTGCCAGCCCCTCCTCTCCTCTGTGGTATTCAAGAGGCACAGAAAATGTCCCATTTCTTAGGAAAGGGTGTACTAAAAGCTCCGTGTTGCCACACAGCAGAGGCAAACATGCAGCTACTCTGAAGCAGGGAGGCACTTACAGGTCTTTAACCCTCACCTTTTCCCCCTGCGCTTCAATTCATTGAGTAGAGTGACAACTTGACGAGCTCCAGTGCAGCCCAGAGGGTGTCCCAGTGCAATTGCTCCTCCAAGGGGGTTCACCTTCTCAATTGGGATGCCCAGTTTCTCAACACAGTATACAGCCTAGAAAGATAAGTTGAGAATACCCCTGTGAAAGCACCAGCCTGCATATCAGCTCCTTCAGCATCTATCCCACGATGGAGAGCAAAGAGGATTGCAAAAATACTGGGAGTCCCAAGTCTTTATAGTTAGTGGAATACAAGCCAGTCAACCAAACAAATGCCTCCTGCAGGCCTGTTGGCTTCAGGAGGTTTGGACCAAGGATGAATTTAGCCCCAAACACCCACTTTAAAGGAAAACAGGGCATTCCGATTCACCTCTTCAAATAAGCATTAACCCTCCCGCCAAAAAAAAAAAAAAAAAACCCCACCACTGGGTTAGTAACTGCACCTGTACAATTTGTGTATCCAGTTACGTAGTAGGCCTGTCCTTAGCAACACCCATAAATCATCATGGAAGGCAGGGGAACTAGACTGCCCATGCAGAGCCAGCTGAGAACTATGCCAGGCTGATATACTGTAAATAGGCAATCAGTTGCAACTACAGAGACTGTAATAGCAAGTAAATCTGCCTGGTTTCTAGAGCAGGTCCCGTCTTCACCTCTCAAAAAGGGAAGCATCTGGGCAGATTTTCATCCTGCATCCTCATTATGAAACATAGCAGGAAGATGACAAGTTTACACAGACACCCTACTAATGCTAGCGATACTCAGTGTGCCTTACAGAACTGAGCAAACCACCACACAGCAACATAACAAAACCCACAAAGAATGGATTGAGCTCTGCTGTTCACTGGACAGATTGCTTTGAGTTTCCTTATCTGTTGTATGTCATGTCATGCTAATGGAGTTCCTGTGCTGTCTTTCCCATTGAATAGAAAGATGTGTAGTTAGCCAGGTGAAAGTTTGTGCTATATCCATCTATCTATCCACTTTGGTTACTCTTTATCTAGAAGGTGCAAATCTGCCCTGCTTTCTATTGAATAGGGAAGTCGTGGTCATAGAAGATAATGGTTTGTATGCATTATCAAAATTTAACTGAGCCTCTCCTACTTGAGGCAAATGGAAATCCATTACATGCAGAGATATATCCAGCATGAATTGTGCTCAGTCACCAAGCCACACAAGTTAAACAGAACATACTCACCTGACTAGCAAAGGCTTCATTAATTTCATATATGTCAATATCATTGACAGTCAAACCTGTATATTAGACAGATCAGAAAAAGGGATTATTATTATTCCCATAATTAAATGCTGCCTGAAATATGATCACTCATAAACAGGGCTCTAAATGAAATATCCTGCTAGTCCCTCCACGGAAAGGAGGAGACACCTGGGTAACTGCAGCATAATTTGCAATCAGAGATCACAAAACTTCAAATTCAGTGGCAGGTTGCATAATGAAGCATTGCTACCAGTCTTCTAGATGAGCTAAACAAGACTCCCTTTACCCTGCCTCTGCAGATGTTAAAGATCTCAGGGAATTTTCAGAGATCAAAAGAACTGTTGCTGAACACACAACTACAGTGACGCTAAACAGTTTAGACATTTGTGGCACTGTCACAACCATGAAGTTCTGTAACCAGGGCCACAGGGTTGTTACTGTTATCCCAGTCCACAGGCAAACATGTATTTTCATGTTTGAAAATACACATGTATGTTCCCAGTTACAGCATACACAGTTACCATGCTGAACTGGCCTAGTGTGGAGAAGTTAAAATGCTGGTCTACCAGTGTGTAATCCCAGGCAGGAACATCTCACTGCCATTCATGAGAACACAATATTAGCAAATCAAGTACAAGTCACTGGCCCCTCTACACTGTACATGTACTGTGCCAGCAGTGGTGTGCTCAGGCAGACCATACCACTTTAAGCACACTTCCTGTCCAGCTGAAAACATCATAACTTCATTTGCATGTACTAATTAGCACTGCTGAAAAGCCAGTAATCCCTCCCATGGTGGGGCACCTCTTTTGGAGGAGGTGCCTGGGGAAGGGCACAGCGTCCTCCGGGGCAAGTCCATCCACAGATGTTTCCTTACTAGCCCTTTGTTGGAACTACGTAGGGATTCAGTGCAAGCTTTTGGGAAGACCAATGCAATACGAGTGAACTGGGCATTAAAATAATGCTAGGCAAGGCTTCTTTGAAGGCTCCAAATGCCCTGCGAGTACTCCTACTGCTGACTGCACTCCATGAGCTCTGCATCTGAAGGAATAAACTTTATTTCTACAACCACAAGACCTAGACCCCCACTATACTGCACTGCACAAAACAGAACAAATCCCACGGCTCCTTACCAGCCTTCTCCAAAGCTACTGGGATGGCATAGGCAGGCCCTATGCCCATGACCTCCGGCGGCACTCCAACCACTGCAAAGGATTTCAGCACCCCTAGAACTGGAAGGCCTAACTCTGCTGCTTTGGAGCGTTTCGCCAGTAGAATTGCAGCAGCTCCATCACTGATCTGGCTGGAGTTACCTGTTAGGAGAGTCACCAATATCATCACTTCAGCCTGGGCAAACCTGGTTACCAGCACCGCAAGTGGGCTGGGACAGCAGCTCACATTACCCACCACCAGGTCTTTAATTAGAAAACTCTCAATATACTGAGAGGCTTTACCTGCTGTTGTGGTACCATTCTTCTTGAAGGCAGGCTTCAGTTTGGCCAAGGCTTCCAGCGTGGTGCTAGGCCTGATCCCTTCATCTTGGTGCACAGTGATTGTTTTCTCATTGCCCTTGTCATCCGTAACAGTAGTCCTTACTGGCACAATCTCAGCTTTAAACAGTCCCATCTGCTGAGCTCTGGCCGCTCTATTGAAATAAAAGTTATGGAGGGTTGAAATAGTCTAAGATGACCAAGGCCAGTTCACAGCATGGCTTGTAAAGAGACTGGTTTGCAGATCCCTTGCCCACACTGTCAAACATCCTGTAAACAGGCACAGCAATGTGCAAACGGTGGAATGGGCCCTGTAACAGACCTGCTGCTATAAGTCAAAATGCTTTTGTCTTTGGAAGACACAAGTTCATTATGTCCCTGACTTCACTGGGACTTGAATGCCTGCATTTGTGGCACTGTCACAACCATGAAGTTCTGTGGCCAAGGTCACAGGTCTGTTACTGTTATCCAAACAGGAGGAATAAGTGAACCATAGGTCCTGAGTGTGGGACTCTCCCTCTTAATTTAAGTAGAGGCCAAATAGGCCAAGTTACACAAAGGTAGTTTTTCCTTGCTAGTTAATAAAGGAGGGGTCAAGTTCCTCCCTCTCTCTTTGCAGTGTGAAGACAAAGGTCAGCCTGTCTTTGTTGGGAACAATTGACACAAATTGGCACAATGCACTAGCACTCAAATGTCAGCTTTTATCCAGAAACGATTCCAGGAACATTACATAGTTTCATAAGGCATCTCCACAGGAATCACTTCACCTAGCACCAAACCCCAGTCAGAGAGGGGTCTGGGAGCTATATCCCAACAGAGAAACATTAGCAGCTTGGGACACACAACAAATACCATCTTCAGCAGAAATCACCAGGTGAATTGAGGGAGGCAGAACGTAATCAGCCATTTTGAGTCTGACCACAGTACTAGCCCTGGGGTCTCCCACACCTACAAAGGATTTAGGACCCTTAATGTTTTTCTAACTCAAGAGTTGGCATCCCTGGCAGCATGGTAGCCCTGTTACACTGGTTTGGAGGAATGGGACAATCTACTAATATGCGACTATTAAAAGTTGTCCATATATAACCACATTGCTTTAAGCTTTTGTTAGGAAAGTGAAATGAAATGAAAGTGTTGAATAGTTCAGGTAAAGGAAAGATGAGAACAAAATGCTGAAGGGTGAATCTGCAGATCCCCATGACTAAGGTCAGAGAACTGCCCTCTTCCTTGGGTGAGAGGTGAGGCTTGCGTACACACAGCCTTATGAGTTATCAGCGCAAGGCCAGCAAGAAAGGCTGGCATGCCGAGTTCTCTCGGAGAAGGGCCAGAATCTAAAAGTTAACTAGTGGGTACAGTAGCTTCCTGTATTAGATAAGCAACTGGACCAGGACCACACCTGACCAGACTATTTCTGAAACTGAATTTAACTCTTTAGCCCAAATGGCTCTGGTAAATCCAGAGTTAGCAGCAGATTGCCCACTAGTATGACACTACTGAGATTCCAGGTGACAATAAGCACCAATTTATTCTATGGAACAGACAAGTTTGGGAGAGTGCTAGGTTCATTTGGCACAAGATATCACAACAATGGCCAGGAACAGCACTGTACTTTACAGCCACCCCTATATGTTCCCTCCAGGAAAGTCTGCCTCACCATCCTGGACGGAAGTGGAAGGCTGTCTAGGTAAAGCAAGCCCAAACATTCAAAAAGGCTATGCAAAGAGTGACATATCTGGGTAATGATAAATACAGAAAGCCTCACTCATAAATACAGATGGCATAAAACATGCTGGGGTAAGATTTCCAGTTGTGTACATGGGGGTCAGACATACGATCCGATTACCTTCAGAACACACAAGCTCCTCGTTACTCTGTGCTCAGAACCTTTTACACCTCCCTCTCTACACATTGCTGGCATTTGAAAAGGCACTTTTTAACTTATTTTATGTATTACATTTATATGCCACCCTCCCCAGAAAAGGCTCAGGGCAGCCTTGCAGCTTACAAGGAAGCTTTCAACATGAAACAATACTGCTTCTGGGATGAAGGAATTTCCTCTTAAGCGGGTAATTTAATATGCTTAATTAAAACTAAACTTTATTCCCTTAGCACAAAAGAAAAGCACTGTATTTACTTTTGTTGGGAAGCCAAGGCAAAGGCATCTTGCTTCTCTCGGGAGATTCCAAACTGTTCTGCCACATTTTCCGAGGTTATTCTGTAGGAAAACAATACTGCCATCACCAAGAGTGCTTCAAAGAGATGGGAACTGATCTTCATGCTAACACAATAAAGACCGAGTTTCTCCTCTGCCTCTCAAGCCAGCTGCCACCATAACAAGCACACAAACTCGAGGCATGGTTCTAGTTATCAGCTGCTCGCAGCAGTCTGCTTGAGGCGATTACCGTGTTTACCTAAATCCAAAATGAGGTGTCCTCTTCTCACCCCACCATCAGCATGGGGAAAAAATGCTGGTCTTGGACTTGGGGCTGAAGTCAGAGCTGAGCTGCCTCTTGCCCTGGGCCAGGATGGCTTGTTTGGTGTGGGAGGGAACTTGTAGCTGGGGAAGCATGGGGGAGAACACTGGGTTGGGATGGAGTAGAAGGGGAAACCTGGGGGGAGACCCATGTGTGCAGCTCAGAGGGCACAGGGGAGACCACACAGCCTGCCTCCTCCCCGATTATCTTCTGCTTCAGCTCCAGTCTCTCCAGCCCCAGCGCAGCCCAGCCTGAGGCTGCTGCTGACTGTCCTAGAGCTGCAAGAGAAGGTAAGTGGCATGGGACAGGTGTGGTAAGGGAGACACTGGGGGCAGACAGCAGGGGCTAGGCAGACACAAAAGGGCAAGGGGCAGGCAAGGGTCTGGCCCTTCACCCCTCACTATTGCTTTCCCCACTACAGCAATGGAAGAGACAAATTTAAGACAACCTTCCACTAAACCTTTTTGTCTGGCAGGCCAGACTGGCAGCACCTGGTCCATCCATGGGCTGGTATTCCCAATCTGGTGCCCAGGCAGGCAAAACAGGTACCATTTAGCTGTATGGAAGGGGGCATGGACAGGCCAGCCTCCACACTGCCCCACAGGGGAAAGGAACTTGATTTAGTCCTGCAAGGAGGGAACGGGATGCAGCCTGGCCCTGTTTGGGGGGAGGCCCAACTGGGCCCTGCAGGAGGCGGGTCTTTTTTTTTTTTTTTCCCCTCCCTTTTTTTGTGGGTGTGGGGGGGAAGCTTGTCCAAGCCCTGCAGGAGGAAGCAGGGTGGCCAAACCCAACCTGGCCCTGTGGGAAAAGAAGGGGGCATGGCCTGATCCAGCCCAGCCCCAACCAGCTGCACAGGCCTTGGGAACTTGGCAGGGTCAGGGAGTGCGGTCGTATTAATGGTCACCACTCCCCCGCAGCCAAATTTCCATACCTCATGAGGAGCCTTGCAGGCTAGATGCGATTAAAACATAGTGATAAAAACAAAGTGATAGCTCCACAGCCTGCATTTGCCCTGCAGGTTGGAGGTTGAGTACCCCTGAACTAAACAAATTTTGTACATGGAAAATTAACACACATTTATAACCTATATAGAACCTAATTATTGGGAGGGGGTCATCTTAAATTCAAAGTCATCTTGAATTTGGGTAAATATGATGCCTTCAGTTTTTAAACAACACACTGACCTTACAGAGGCAGGGTTAAAAAAAATAGCTTTAATTCTAGGAGGAGTGAAGAAGATACTCACCCCATAGGAATAAGGCAAGCTCTGGTTTTACTGTTGTCTGCCACACGAGAAGTAATATCACCAGGTTCATTCATACCCCTAAGAGACATTGTTTCCATTCTAGACAGGAAGAAAAATGTTTGAATCTAGGTGTCATTCACCTTTGACTTAGTTTCACAAAAGCTTCTTAATTATATTAAGAGAAAAGCTCAAATTTCTAACCAAATTGTACCATAAGGAAGAAACACAATTGGTTATTGTACAACTTACACTCAGCCTGTTTTTAAAACAAACAATCCAAGCAGAAACAAAAAAAATGAAGCCAGATCACTACAGATTAAACAGTCCTATTTTTCCTAGGGTGGGATATCAGGTTTCGGCAGTTCAATCCTCATGTTTTTATGATGTGGGTAGAAGTTACTGACTATTCTGGGAGTCCTTTTCTCCTGTAAACAGTGTGGAAACAAAGGTTCCTGGACAGGAGTTTCCACCAACAGAATATTACCAAGAGCAATGAACATGCATGTGTTGCAGCTTATTTGAATTTCCTGTGTTTGCTGGCAGAAGGGGAAGGAATTGTGTGTTTTTTGGGACAGCCCCTGTAGGAGAGGGGGTATGAGACTGGGAGGGACACTGGGAAGGGGAGTGGAACTGGGTGGGAAGAGGCGTTTTGTTTTGTTTTAATACCTACATGAAAATTGGAGTTGGGAACAGATGGAATTGGCTAGAGGGTCTGCTCTTATGGGTGATGGGCAGGGAAGCAGCAGCCATGTTGGGGAATGAGGAACAGGAAGGAGGAGTTTCAAGTTTTGGAGTATTCTTTGGAGAGAGTCTACTGTTGTTTCTCATCTGTGGGTTGTTTGTCATTTATTGTAAACTGCCCTGGCCTTTTCTTGATAAGGGGCGATATAAATTCAAATAACAACAACAATAGTAACAATAACAATAGGGCTAGAAGTCTGACAAGCCAAGAGTTAAGCAAGCCACTACAGAAAGCATTCAAGCAAGTAACACCAGGTGTCTGGTGTTGCACAACCTGAGCAAGGAAGTCAGGGTTCGCAGATGATGCAACATTTAGGCTGGAAGCAAATTAACAGCTTCAAAACTGTGGATAAAAAGGTACTGCATAAGCAGACGAGATGACACCAAATTATGTAAAAGCCAAATCAGAAACTCCAAACCAAGAGATTTCTCACTGATCACCATATTGATTTCAAAGAGCAACCCAGGCCAGGCTTGAAATTTGGGGGAAATAAAAATAAAAAAATCCAACAACAAAACCAAAACAAAAAACACTTTGATCTTGCAAGTTTGCTCCTGCATAATTCAGATTTTCTGAAATGCATTAATCTCCTGGTTCACGTCATCATTGCTACTTATACAGAAAGCAATGCATTTTATACTACAATATATTCAATTGCAAATCCTATTAATAATCATCTGCAGTAACCGGTGAAGCTCCATGAATTAAGTCAGTTGTGTTTATCTTTCCAGAAAGAAATACCTTCTTCACTTCTATAAGACACACCGATTAGTATGGATGTGATGATCATCTCAGCACCTGACAGAACTGGAATTTGAGACCAACACCAGCTGATGAAATGGCTTGTAGACAGCCATTTGCAAATGGCACTCTTGCTATTAGATATCCATACACAAAAAACAGGCTCTACAGGTGGGATATCAGAGGCCTACTATATTGTTTAAAAAGGGTCTGTAATGATGGGATGCCTAACTATGACCATTCCCCACTACTTCATTAAACTCCAGGAGAAAAAAAAAAAATCACTCTGGCCTACAATTTCTAGAGAACATTGGGGATATGGAGACACTTCAAAAGACCATGATTTTCAGAGGATGTGTATTCAGTGCTTCTGAAAAATTCAGACCTTTTCAGAGCATATGCTTTAGGCACCCAAAGGTGTCTTCTCATTTGGATTCAGGTTTCAAATTTCACATGCTCAGTTTACAAATCAGCAAAGTGAAGACAGCATTCCCTTGATTTGGATGCTGAAGTGTATCAGTAAAGGTCTTTACGATCCACACATCAAAGATGATAGAGCAGCAAAATACTACGAAAGGCTAAAGAAATAAATAACTGCATAGAAACACTCTTACCCACATGCCAAGCCAATGTCATAGGACCCATTTCTGATGCCGCCTGCAACAAAGATACTTTATCAATATTTTACCAACGCCTAGAATAATCATTGGTTCAATGATGTCTAGTTGGAGGACCATGTAAATCTGCCCTGGTGTAAGCCAAACCATTTTTTTTTTTAAATGATTTTCAGATGAGACAGTTTCAGCCCTTCCATCTCACTATAATTTTTACAGAAATGAAGTGACAGGATTTTCACAAAAGGCTTTTAGGTTTGAAGGCTACAAGCAGTCTGGCACAGGCAAGTATTGAAAACTTGTAAAAGACAGAATTAGGGATGAGATTATAGAACTGTGAGAGGCTGACTTCAACAGGGAAGATCAATACCTTGCATGCTTACCAGCTATATTGATCACAGCTTGGAGCCCAGAGGAACACTGTCTGTTGACACACGATACAGGTACAGTCTCTGGGATGCCACTAAAGCAAAACAAAGACAGAGTCAGTCGAAGACCTCATACACCCAACAATCCAACTGAAGAGAAACCTCATTCCTTATAATTTGCTCTTGAACAAAATGTGCTAAAGACAAACCCATCTATGGCAGGGTCTGCTTTGCTGCATTTTGCCCTAGGCTAACAGAAGTGAAAACTGTCTCCAGACCAGATTGGCGACTAGAATCAATCTGCCAGAGCCGACTTCGTTAAAGGTAGAAATCAGTCTCCTTAGAACAGATGTTCTTTGCAAGAGTGTCAGGCAGCCCCATTTCATTTGTCAAGATTTTGGGTTAGACGAGGTCACATGCCACACTGAGGGGGCAAAATGGCATTGTAAAAATTCAGAAGTACATGACAGTCACTGATGGTTTGCAACCCATGTGGTTGCCTTCACTGGCTCATGAGTAGCTGACAGAAGACAAAAATCAGTCAAGGGGACATAACTTGACAATAAAACCTGAACAAAAAACTCCTGAATGATAAAATTCCATTAAAAAGAAGCTCAATTTAACAACTCTCCCCCTCCCCACCCAACATCAGGTATTTCTGCCCGTCATATCCAGGAAACACTTAAATCATAATAGAAGAAAAAGAAGAGGCAGGTTCAAGCTTTTAAACAATGTTCTCTGTAGTTCCAGACCCAAAGGGCAGATAACACTGTAGTTTCATAATGGTTAGGGTTGGAAGGGACCTAAAAAGATCAATCAGGTCCAACCCCCTGCTCCAGGCAGGAATGAGTGCTGGGGTCATAACACCCCAGCCAAGTATCTGTCCAGCCTCTTCTTGAAGACCCCCAAGGTAGGAGAGAGCACCACCACCCTTGGGAGTCCATTCTAAAGCCTGGCAGCCCTAACCATGAACTAACGTCTCCTTATGTGCAGCCTGAACCTTCTCGCTAACAATTTGTGACCGTTCTTCCTAGTGACCCCAGGTGGTGCCCGGGGGAATAGAGCCTCCCCCAATTCCTGCTGGTCCCCCCAATGAGTTTGTAAATGGCCACCAGATCCCCTCTCAGCCTTCTCTTGTGAAGGCTGAATAGAGTCAGGTCCTTTACCCTCTCTTTGTAGGGCCTGCCCTGCTACCCCTTGACCATGCAAGTGGCCCTCCTCTGGACCCTCTCAATGCTAGCCACAACCCCCTTCAAGTGCAGCGCCCAGAACTGGACGCAGTACTCCAACTGTGGCCTGACCAATGCCACAAAGAGGGGGAGGATCACCTCCCAGGACCTGCTTGTCATGCATCTGTAGATGCATGACAAGGTGCAGTTAGCCTTACTGACCACATCCTCACATTGGTGGCTCATGTTCATCCTGGAGTCAACAATGACTCCAAGATCCCTTTCTGCCACCGTGTTGATAAGAAGGGAGTTCCCCAGCCTATAGGTGTGTTGCTGGTTCCTTCTCCCTACATGCACCACCTTGCACTTGTCTGCATTGAACTCCATCCTATTCTCATCTGCCCACCTCTGTAACCCGTCTAGATCTAGCTGGCTTCTGTGCCTCCCCTCCAGCGTGTCCACCTCGCCCCACAACTTGGTGTCATCACCAAATCTGGACAGCGTCCTTTCCACGTTCACATCCAGATCTCTGATAAAGATGTTGAACAGTACAGGCCCCAGGACCGAGTCCTGGGGGACTCCACTGCCCACATCCCTCCAGGTGGAAAACAACCCATCCACCACCAACCTCTCCAGTATTCAGGGACACGGACTGCCAATGACTTGCTGTACCTGTTGTTTGTGCTGCACTGCAAGTCTCTGGAGACTGAAGTCATATGTTTTGTGACTGAACAGACCCAGCACAAAGGGCAGCAGTGAAACTGTCTTATTAAAAAGGATCTCAGCTCTGACTTACAGGGAAATGTGCCAGGAGTAAATGTTCAGGACTTCAGTCCTTCTGCTAGCATGGTTGTATTAGAGCACCAGGCACTGCACTAAGCAGAGAGCTGCCGATCACATACAACTTAGTGAGAGCAACCAGACTTACAGACACAGCCAGGCATGGGAACGATGTGAAGACCCCCTAAGTCCCCAAGCCACCTCTTTCCCTTCCTTCTCTCCTAGCTTTCTCTAGCTTAAAAGAAGATGCACAATAATGTAATACAATACATTTATAATGCATTACATAATTATTTCACATACAGGTACCCCTCGCTTAATGACGTAGTGATGTTCCTGGAAAATGCAACTTTAAACAAAAAGATGTTAAGCGAAGCCAATCACGTCACAGTAGTTAGCTAATAGCAGGTGATGGCCAAACAATATTATATCCGAACATTGCGCGACTTTAAACGGAGTATGTTCTCCAATAAATCAGCAACATAATAACGACACAACGTTAACCAGGACAAAGTTAAGCGAGGAGTACCCGTAACTGTAATAACATACACACGAGCAAGGAGGCTGGAACTTTATGAAAGCTTATTCTTCTCCGAACCAGCTAGTCTCTAAGGTACAACCCTGCCCTGCCTGCTGCTGAAGGCACAAGAAGAAAATCTGATAATCACTACTGAAGAGAACAAATTACACCTAAGGATGTATTGTCCCCCTTCCTAAAACGGAGAGAAAAGCAGCAAAACAAGGGAGGTGAACAGACCCAATGGCCTTGGCATCACAAGTAAAAAATTCACTTCTAAACAAAGAGCAGCTAGGGCTGCATCCCGACCCTTGACCCCGTCCCCCGGGCACCCAAAATGCAGCCGGGACACAGCTCACCTCAGAAACTGGGCAATCCTTGCAACGCTGGCCCCCGCGCCCGGCTGCAACACGTTGCCTGCACATAAACACACGACGGCAACCCATTAGTCGAGTCCCCTCAGCCCCCGGAAATTAACTCTCCCCGAACCATCGCGGGGCTGGCTGGACTCACCCACACAGATGTCCCCCAGCTTCTCGGGGCTCAGGCGCACGTCGCGCAGCACGGCCGTCATCACGGCGCAGAGCAGTTCGTCCGGGGTCGTGTGCTGGGAGGGGGGCATGGGCCGAAGGCGCTGGTGAGAGCGGCCTGCCTCGGGAGGCACAGGGAAAGGAGGGCACCCCTCCCCTCAACCACCTCAGCATCCCGCCGCCTCAGCACCCCCCCTGGGCCGCACTACCTGAAAGCCGCCACGGCGGGCGCGGGCGATGGGCGTGCGCCGCCCGTGTACCACCACCACATCCTCGGCCCTTGGATCGCGGCTGGAGCAGGGGGCGGCTGCCGGGGCCGCGGCCCAGGAGCCGCCGCCGGACAAGTGGCCCAAAACCACCTGCACCCGCCGCATCCCACGCTCGCCGGCCGCCATCACCATAGAGCTCCGCCCGTCCGGCTAGAGCGGCCCCGCCGGGCACTATAAAGCGCCGCCCGCCCGGCTAGAGCGGCCCCGCCCGCTCGTTTGCATAAAGATGGCGCCGCAAGGGAGCGCGGGGCTGCTGGGAGGCGGCGGGCCCACCATGCACCGCGCCGCCCCGCGCTGTGCATGCCGGGGCTTGTAGTTCCGTCTTTCCCCTCCAGGACACGGGCGGTTGCCGCCCCCCCCCGCTCGCCTCGCAGGTGCAGCCGGGGGTGTTAGGAAAAGCTCTCCCACTAGGCGGGCGGGGAAGCACTGGGTCAGGCTGCACAGCGAGGGGATGCATTCTCCATCCCTGGGAGGTTTTCAAGACATGGGTAGACAAAGCGGTGGCTGCGATGCTCCAGTTGGGGCTGGTCCTGCTTTGAGTGGGGGGTTGCACCAGATGCAACTCCTGAGGTCCCTTGCCACCCTCCTCCTCTGTGATTGTGACACTCGGGTCGTTGCCCTGTGGCTCAAGCTGCAGGCTGATGCTTCGCTCCCCAGAACTAACGACGACAGCAGCTATCATCCGATTTCTTCTGGCCCGGGTGTCCTGGACAACACGATCCTCTCTCTCAGCGAGATGGCTACAGAACCAGTGCCTTGCCCGAGGGGCGTCTAGCAGCTCCCCCGTGGTGCCGTGCCGTGCCGTGCTGTGCCGTGGATGCTCGGCATAGAGGCTTGGTGCCACGGCCCTGCCGCCAGGGAGGCTTTGCTCCCTTCTGATGGAGACGTGCAGCCAGGCAGTGCGACGTGTCACCCAAACCTACCGCTTTTGAGGCATGGTGGGACTGCACCTTGCAAGGTGGTTGGAGAAACTCAGTACTGGCTTACAAAGGGGGAGCACATTTCTTTTGTTAATCAAGACTCTTCTACCCACCTCGAGGAGTTGAAATGAACTCGCGCTGTGGCATCAATGCCCAGCCCGGGAATCTTATCCTTTTCTTTGCCACATACTATTGCCGGGAAGCAATAGGTCTCAGTCCTGGGAGGGGAGGATAAACTGGAGAACTAGGAGAGTCCCCGTGGAAATATTTACTGTGTGTACTTGTTGTTCCCTTCGCTGTTAGGATTTAAGCTGCGCAGGTCATGAAGACCTTGGGGAATACACACCCAGCCCTGTTGAGGTATAATCTCTATTATCTCCAGTAGCAATAGCACTTGCCCAGAAGCCACTACAACCTGAGGCTGACTTAGGTCTCAATCATGGAAAGACTTAGCATGCAGATTTTTGCTCAGGAAAGCAGTCCCACGAAAGCGCACAGGACCACTAGCCTGAACAGGTCACTTGTGCATATGGCCCACTTTCACAACTGAGGCTTCAACATCTCTCAAGCCTGATATCCCTCTCAGAACTGAGGCCTGGATTCCCTCGTGGGCAAAGCTCTGCTCCTTGCAACACAACAGCAAGGCAGGCAGAGCTCCTCCAGCTCAGGCTGCCTATGGCTCTGCAAACAAGAGCTTCCCCACTCCCCTCCCACCCACACATCCTCATCCCCTCAGACCAACATCCCCTGAACAGGGGGATTCTCATCCAGAAAGTCAGGGGCAGAGCAGTGCAACGCAGCTGGAACAGGAGGCTGTCGTAGCCTAGTTCAGGGAACTCAGCTCCTGGCCCTTAGCTTTGTATCAACCAACCTGGAGGGCTCCAAAAATTTAGCTGTGGGCGAGTGGTGGCAATGTTAATTGCTGCTCCCCCAGCACCAAATTTCCAGACTTACGGGAAACCCTATAGGCAGACA